GGTGTCAGCTAGTCCTTAATAGTCATAATTTTGTCACATCCATCCCTACTTCCAAGATCACAAATCACTAGAAATTGATGCAAGAAAACTAGACATTCACTCATAACCATATTGACAAAAAGTTGTTGTGATCGAAGTACCTAAAAAATATTTTTTAAATGTTGCAAATGATCGATCTTGTTAGAGCTATAAATCAAAATATCATCAGAGTAAATGATCATAAAATTTTCCATAAAAGTTTATAAAACTTGATTCATTAGGCACATGAGTTGCTCAAAGGGTTAAAAAGCTCGAACGACATCACCATTCATTCATATTACCCATATCTTATCTTAAACATTGTTTTCCATTCATCTGCTTGCAACAAATGTATATGATGATACTTGATTTGAAGATCAATTTTGGAGAATAAAACCACTCCTTTTAAATGATAAATATACCAATCGAGGAATGAGAAACCTATATTTGATAGCGATTTTATTTATAGTTTGACTGTAAATGTACATAAGGCATGCCCCATCCTTTTTAGAGCCGATAGAGTCGGAATCGCGTGTGCGCTACCACTATGTCACACCAAGCCTTTGTTAATAATCTCATTCGCTTGGCATTAAAGCTCTTCAATTTTGTTTAAATACATCCTAAATGTGGGTTTGTTGGTGATGACTAAACTAGGCACAACGATAATGACGTATTGATCTCTCTCACAGGAGGTAATCCTGCAAGAATTTTGCTGGGAAAATATTTTTGAATTGTTTATCAATCTTTATACTTCAGAAGGGGGTGTCAGTGGCTATTTGAAACTTTTAGATATGATTAGGAGGTACCCTGTAACATCCTCCTTCAGGTCTTTCAAAAACATGAGGGAGTTGAGTTATTGAGTTTAGGCTTTGGCCAGATTTCCTCCTTCATGGGCATCAAAGTCGTTTGAATTCCCTCTTTGATTTATATATTAGTGTTTGCATCTCCATCATGAACAATATGATACAATATGATAATCATATTGCTAAGGCTAATCAAGTAATATTTGATGAGCATCCATTGTAATTGCGTTACATAATACTTGCTTATGAAGTTTCTAATTGATTGAAAATTGCGCTACAAAATATTTTGTGACTTTAATTTTAGCTCCCTAATTTGAACCACATGAGTTGGTAGGGATGGGGATGAGGTTGTGTAGCTAGCCCAAGCTTCATCATAGTTGTTGAAATCACGTTTTCATAACTTTCATCGTCGATAATAAGGTTTAAAACCTTGTCGTGAACCGTGCATTAGGTTTTAAGGATGTTGTGTCGTAACCAATCTTTATTAGAATAATGTTCGTCACCTAGAAGATAACTTATCACAAGTAATTCCGCTTCATCTACATGTATGTCTTGCTTCCTCGTCAGATTATTGTATTCTTCTTCTATAACATCATTCTCCTTTAGTTCAACTTTCCCCGCCAATGAAATAATGCACTGGTTAGGAAATTTGAGGCCATGTAGTTGGTCCCATGGCATTATAAGCACTATCTTTTGGACAAGGTTTCCCAAGGCTAGTTTGGTGTTGTTTTGTAGTTTTTTGAATCCTCCATTTGCATTGTTACGACTTGGCTTGACTTGGTTTACTGGAATTAACCCGGTCAGTGGTAGGACTACGTATTGGAACATTTCATAATCAACAACCCTGATTTGTCTTTCCTTCAATTACCCACTCAGATGTCGTGCCTCATTGTTGAAATATTCGTGGTTAACAAATTTCTTTCCTTCTTTTTTCTCCCCGCATCCAATCCTTGTTACACTGTTCGATCTTCTTAGTTCTTTGCTCCAAGACCACAAGCAACTCTTATAGTTGCTTGATTTTAAGTTGCAAGTCATTGACAACTAGTTATTGATTGGGACTTTCAATATATCTTTGTGTTGGTATGTTTGAGAGCACAAAGAACCACAAGCAAATGCAAGGGCAAAAATCTATTCACTAATTATGGTTAAGAAATGGGTCAAGAAGCCAATCAACTATATTTTATGATTAGCCAGAAGGAACCCAACAACTAAACATCAACGACACCTAGTTCAAGTCAAATAATCCCAAAAAGATAGAATGTTATGATACCAAAACCGTACCACAATTGGGAGAAAGAAGTCAACGATGTATACAAATTGGAAAAACAACAAAGAACAGAAAAATCAATGGAGGGAAACCATAATTGAAATAAAGAGAAGTACTCAATTAGAAGCAATATACTTAGGAATTTAGAGACTAGAACAAGGTGCAAGGACGAAAGTACCACATGAGAGACACCTCAGAATACTTGCCGAGACACCCTTCGAAAAAAGAAAGAAAACTATACAAAAGTCATCTTCCCCAAATAACCTACATATATTTTGTATTTATGCTAAGACCCTTCCTAATTATAAGTTTGCCATAAAAAAAGGGAAGACACTTAATAAGACTGAAATAAAACAATTAAAAGAACACTAGGACAACAAACACTTCATACTCTGACATCATTATATTTGTATTCTCTTAATTCACAATAGTGAGCAGTTGTTATAATCATTTCAACCACCTTATAAAGGAGGCAATGATCTAAATCACCTCCAAGGGATGTATTATATTGATCTAATTTAGTAATTTCCTTACATAGAGTTGTCTTTAGTATTTTGTTGCATGTCCATTATAGACATTCTTATTCCTTGTTTACATATTTTGTTTATTGATGCCTTTATATCATCAAAGAAGTAGATAAAAGGTATACATGAGGGAAATTGCTTACTTTGTTGTGTCTAATTTATAGGTTGTGTGTAGCCTTCTTAATCACAATGAGCATGCAATTATAAACATCAACAAGTGGAATTTTATATTGAAAAATTTATACTTATTAAAGTTAGTCCAATAAAATGTATGAAATATTTTGGAAATATTGAAAAGTTATGCTCTCAATTTGCAAGTTTCTATGAGATTGTTGAAATGATTACAAATGTGGCTTAATTATTGTCTTTACAAGCACATGTCAGGGATTATAATGTGTTTTATATTTACACATTTTAAAAGTACTTGGCTTATTAATTTAATAAGGTTGTTGCAAAATACATATACAAAAAAATTGATCTTACATATAAAGAGAAGCTAGAGAGAATATTGAGTTCTGATATAAAATAACTCCAAAATCTAGATATAGTTTTTGTATGAGTTTACGTGGAACCATGGAACAATAAAAGATGTTACGTGGGAGAAGGTAGAGATTGTCAAAGCTTGCCCTTGTATTTTCTAATCTTGCTATGATTTTAATTATGCTCTTACAATTTTGATGATAAAAATTTGTAAGGGATGATTTTAAAACTGAAAAAAACAAATTTGAATTGGTGAATGTTGATTCAAATGAATTGACTAGAATTTACTCTCGTTTAGATGAAGTGAGAGGGAGAGATGCAAATGAGAGGAAGATACCAATCAGACAATTGACAAAGAGAGAATGAGTTTGTCATGACTTGACATGGAGCATGAAATTAACCAAGGTAGGTGCACATGGTCGGACGGTAGAAAAATAAATTTTTTATATTCATTTTTTATAACTAACATTTAATAAATAATAGAGCCACTATAGAAATGAGTTTAAAGTAAAGCAATTATAAATTTACCTTAGGTTAGGTTGCCTAAATCTTTTATAAGTATTTCTTTTTTATTGCTCATCTTTTAATAAAATGATTAAACCTATAATATTAATTTAAAATAATATTAAGCTAAAAATACAAATGAGTACACTTATTTTTAAATCATAATAATGTAATGAAATGGAATAATATGCATGCATGTTAAACTTAATAAATTAGTATAAGCAAATTTAATAATTTATAAATATGATCAATCACAATATTTTATAACATTAAATGTATTTTGCTATATCAATAATATGTTTATATCATTTTCTATATGTACAATCATCAGAGGAGGATTGTCTAAATTGTGCTATTTAAGATTTTTCAATATTAATATCACTTTTTATTCATGTGCACGAGTGTCTTAGCGTTTTTATGCTAGTAACATAAATGAGTGAACTCCATTATAATCAACTATGCACATACATTAAATGTGTGCAATTCATATCATTCATACGTGTATTTTATTCAATTAAATATGTTTTGTATGAATGATGCATAATATCAATTATTGCTAAAATGTAAAATCATCATAATAATATGACAAATAAAATGAAAAGCACATAAATCTAAATAAAAACTTGACAATTGAATTTATAGATAGTAAAAACTATCAATGCAACTGATTAGAAAAAATGCAACTAAAAATCAAAAGTGAGAGTACTTACTTCGATTTCACTTTATGATATAATCTTTTTCAAATCTTTTAATTTCTCTTTCACAGCTTCAATTTTCTCAGCTGGTTATATTTCATAATATTCTAACATTAATATATAATAATTAATAATTAAATTGACTATAATAATTATTAAATAAATGCTAATCTCATCCATTTAATTTTTCTTTTGTATGATCCTATCTTGATCTTATTGATCCATAATTTAATTTTTTGTTCGAACTAATTTACCGAAATTAATTCATAAAGTTTCATATACTTTAATAACATTTTAATTAAAATAATTTATATAATTAAAACACAAAATCCATAAAAGTCTTATCTTAATGACTTTGCAAGTGTTTTTGAGATTAATTAAGTATAATAACTTTGAATTAAAAAAATATAACTTTTGTTTGATAAAGCTTATTATAAGTTATTATCAACTAATTAATTATATAATTAACTTGTATAAAATAAAGAGATTTTTACATATTAGTCATTCAAAATATTTAATATAACATTTAATGACTATAATTTTAAATATAATAATTTAATAATATTTTGTATTATACCCATCTTGTTTTAATTATTAGTGAAGATTTTGAATGAAAATTTTAGCAATTAAAATAATATAATTTTGAGCGGTTATTGTTTAAATATCCCTAAAATAAAAACATAGAAGAACATGGCATCGTTCTGTATCCGCTTACAGGACGTGAACGCAGCCCTCCTTCCTGCACGCTAGGGCTCGGTTCGTCTTCGATAGTACAGCACTCGAAGGCCTTCCCTGTCTTCACTGAAGTACTACGAGCTTATATTCCTTCGATTAGCCAATGTGCGTGTAACAGCTCCAGCACCTCCTGTCTGGCCTTCGATCATCTCCTTGCTCGGCTTTGCAAGCGCGCTCGAGGTCAGTTACCACTGCAATCGTCTCTGCACTAGCTGATTGATCTCCCTCTCCTTCGAGTGGATCGATCTTCCTCCTGACGCAAACTTGCCTTGTCTTCCTCTCTCGAACCGCTCAACAATCACACTCCTTCGGTCCCCTCCTCTCACTCGCTCAAATTCTGATTTTTTTTTTAATTTCTATCATTCAGTTCATTCTTCTGTTCTTCTTTCGTCTCTTCTTAAAATATCGCAAGAACCCTCTCATATTTGATACGACGCTTCCTATGTAACAGCGGCTCTGCATTAATATTGGGCTTTACAGAGCTACTGAGAGTGATCGTGTCAGAGAGATTGGGCGAGTAACAAAGAAGTAGAGCGTGGACAAAGAAGAGGAGAGTGAGTGGACGAGTGGCAGGGATAGAGCAAGCGAACAAGAGATTTGACGAGCGAGTATCATGATCGAGGACTCGAGCGAGGTAACACAATGGGCATCATTTTGGAACTCAGCCAAGCACGAGCAAGATTAATGGGCTATCTGTTAAGAGATTTAACTCAGGATTTAAGAAGAATACTGCCAGACGGTCATTTTGGACAAAATAAATCCTCCCATTTACTAAATTTGGATTCCGTAGATTTCGGCTGTAAATTCCACCAACCGGTGGATTTAACTTCGCTGTGAAATTTTTACAGGATTTACAAGATTTATTAAATCTGTTGCCAGACAATTCTCTGGATTTTAACCCATTCCGAATTTAATAAATTCGGATTTAGGGGATTTACTAAATCCTAATAACTCAAGTTTCATTTGTTGCCAGACAACACCTAAAACATTTCTTCCTCCGTCAAAAATAAGTGATTTTTCAAAAAATAATTTTAAAACGAAGGTGTTATAGAAAATTTTATATTGTAGGCATACTTGAAATTGAAGTTTGAGGTTTACTTATAATGCCATTGTAAAGTATTAAATTACAGATCACAAATCTTAGCGAGGTTTTATTACTTGTTGAACTTAACTAAATATGATTTATATATTTGAGTTGAAGAAAATACAATTAAGGTAAATAAATAATGAGAGAATACTATCTATCTATCTATCTACTCAGTTCCCTTAAGTTACTGTAATTTAGAATTATGATGTATTGATGGAAGGGAATTTATGTATTGACTACATGAATCAACAATTGTATGGTGCTTAGATTTTTTTATTAATGTAGGTAGAAAGCATTTAATGGTTTGCTTGACCATCTATTTTTGCCTTATTATTCCAAATTTTTGGATTGAGATGTTTCAACTACTTCCTTTCTCGTCATCATCAAAATCTGTTGCTGTAAAACTAGAAGTTTTTGTAGCCATCTTATTTCACATGCTTTTTACCGAGCATCTTTTATTATGTAACTTACTATGCTCTTACACACCATTCCATTTCAAATATTTACTAATCCTCATCAACGTTTGAGAAATTTGAACCAATCACCTCATTCAACCACTTTCGACTACTACTAATTCTTTGACATTGAATGGATCAATGACATCCAAATTCACGATGAATATTTAAAGTTGTATTATTTTACATAAACTAGATTGTTGAACATTTGATGATCCAATTCGCATCTAGGAGAGACTCTTCATAGCTTACAAATATTTATCACATTTTTATTTCAACATTTAAAATTTGATACTCTTCATATATTATGGCTACACACGCTTTGAAATCATAGTACAACAACAACAACAAGCCTTAATCCCACTAAGTGGGGTTGGCTACATGAATCATTTTTCTTCATCGCATCCTATTGAGTGCCATATTTTCATTTCATTCTAATAAATTAAGATCATTTTTTATATAACATGCCCAATTCTTTAAGTCCACCTCTGCCTTTCTTAACATAAGTCGAATCTAAAATATCTACTAATCTAACTGGATCATCAGATGGTCAATTTTCTCTAAGACGACTCTCTCTAATTTTGTCTTACACTGGAACTACACCAACTCTATCATAGATATATTCATTTCGCATTTTGTTTCTAAGTGTAAATCCACTCATCCACCTAAGCATTCTCATATTGACAACACTTAACTTAGCTTTATGCTTCTCTTTTAAAGGTCAACATTCTGCGCTATAGAGCATTGCAGGTCTCAGCACCATCATATAAATTTTTTTCTTTCAATATAAACAATACTTTTCTACCATACAACATGCCCGAAGCATTCCTCCACTGCAACCTACCAACTTGAATTCTACTAATAACACCATCATCCATATCACCATCACTTTGAACAATAGACCCGAGATATCTAAAGCGTTAACAACTTTTAATGATTTGATTATTCGTAGTTACAACCTTGTCACTAGAACTACTACTACTACTAAAATTACATTCAGTTTTAGTTATCCTCAAATGGCGACCTTTAGACTCCAATGTAGACCTCCATAATTCAAGTATTTTCTGAGCTCTCTCTAGTTTATCCACAAGAAGGATATCATCAGTGAAAACATACACCAAGGTACATTCTACTGTAACTGTCCAGTAAGAACATACATAACTAAAGCAAAATGATATGGGCTTAAAGCCGATTCCTGATGTAATCCAAATTGAATAGGATAAATATTTCGTCAATCCTCCTTCTATTCGAATACAAGTAACAACTCTAGTATACATATCTTTAATGACTTGAATATAAGTCATATCAATACCTTTCTCTAGAACTCGCCAAAGGATATCTCATAGAACCTTACTGTAAGCTTTTTCTAAATCAATAAAAATCATATGTAGATCCTCCCTATTCTCTCTATACTTCTCCATCAAACCTCATAATAAATGTATAGCTTCTATAGTAGACCTATCCGACATAAATCTAAACTGATTATGAGAAATTTTTATAATACGCCTTAAACTATGTTCAATTACCTTCTCCCATACTTTTAAAGTATGACACATCAATTTAATTCCTCTATAATTTGCACACTGTTGTGCATCCCTTTTATTATTAAAAATTGGACCAAAATACTTTTTCCCCACTTCTTATGCATCTTTTGGTATTTAAAATGTATTAAAGTGTTTAGTAAGCAAAGAAACTTCCAATTCTCCTAAATATTTCCCCACATCAATTGGTATTTCATCAGGTCCTATAAGCTTTTTACCCTTGATTTTCTTTAAAGTCTTCTCAGTTTCTTTTTTACTAATACGATGATAAAAATAAAATATTTTATATTATTAATGATATTAAGATCACAGGTGGATGGTATTTTCAGATACTTCATTGAAAATTTGTTAAAGTCACCCACCTATGTTGAATATATTTTTTTAAGAAAGTAACTTTTTAATTTCATCTTTAATACATTTTAATTGAGATAAATCTTTATTATTTTTTTCTTTGTTTGACTATTATATACATATATTTCTCACCCTATTTAGATTTCTAATCTATTATAAAAATCATTAAAAACAGAATTTTTAGCGTTACAATTTGTTTTAGACTTTCTACGGGTCATTTTATAATTTTCCCAGTTCTCTAATTTTTTACATTTAAACCAATTTTTATAACACAACCACTTATCTTTTATCTTTTCTTGCACATTATTATTTCACCACCAACTAATTTTATTTATATAAACTTCTCTTTTTGATTCTCCAAATACTTCTTTTGTCATTCTTTTGTCACTTCACTTGTTTAATAGTGTTTGTTACTTTATCCCACATAGAATTTGATTCTTCATGAACATCCTAAGTTTTGAAGTTTACTCTTAAAAATAATTTTATTTACGTCCTTTAGGTACCTTCATCTAGTTCTATGTCAACGATTCCCATTATTCTTTATTTTACAACTCTTCATCTTAAAATACAAAATTAATAATCAATGTTGAGTACTCAAATTCTCACTTGGAATGATCGTATAATCTTTGCATTCTCAACAATCTCTTATTCTCATAAGAAAATAATCAATTTATGCCTTATTAGATCCATTTTTATAAGTAATAATATGCATATTTCTTTTCTTGAATAAAGTATTAACAATAACATATTCAAACGCTAAAGTAAAATCTAATATTACCCTACATTCTTCATTAATTACTCTAAAATTGTAGTCACCATGAATATTTTTAAAATCTTCTACCACTCTACAGACATTCCATTTAAATCTATTCCAATAAAAATTCTTTTTTTAAGTGGTATCATTTGTATTAATTTTCTTAGGTTATTTTTAAAATTTTCTATAGAACATGTGCCTAAATCTATTTAAGCTGAATAAACACTTATAATATTAAAAATTTTAGTATCAACAACGATCTTAAGCGCTATAATTCTATCTCAAATTCTATTAGTTTTTACAACATTATCTTTCATACTCTTATATATAATTATACCTACACCGTTTCCAGTGCAACTTTTAACTGAATACTAAAGTTTAAAACCTAAGCTATCAATCTCCTTAGGTTTTTCTTGAACCCATTTAGTTTCTTAAATACATATGATATATATCTTTCTATGAACCATAATAACAATTAATTCTATTAATTTACCAGTGAGAGTACATATATTCAAAGATCCTATCCTAATATTACTTTCGTGGATTGACTTCTTTACCCGCTTCCATTCGTAATATAGAAATTCTTGCTTATTTGACACTATAAGCAGACGCCGGTGTACCGGCCCTTGCACATTTTTCACTGTATTCCAGTCATACAACGCGTCAATTCCGGGGGATGCTCTAGTATTTACACAATATTGATTGAGGCTGACTGTATTTGATTTATGTCATGATTTTTCGACAAATTTTATGCTGATTGTCGACTATCTAACACAACTCTTCTCTTTTCTCATCTGGGACTTGGGACTCGACAATGGCAGTGTTAAGAGGCAATTCCGCCATCTCCTAGCTCTTACACCATGTTGCTCTCCTTGGTGGTTTCTTAGTAATATTATCAACCAAGGAGTAATGCGAGAATACAATCTATGTCACTTTCCAGGTGCCAACAAAACTGCTCTCCACCTTTCAAACTAACTAGGGGAAAAATCATTTATTGCTAATTGTGGTGGTACTCTTATTCTAGATGCGAGTCATTTTCAATCCTTTACAGGAATGCTATCGGAAATCGGATGTTTATGACTCATTTATTAAATTCATGAACTCATGAGTTTTTTAATATTTTACCAATACTTTTTCTTTAACAAACTAAGTGTGAAGCGAAGTGCTTAACCTTGCAAAGAGGGGCCCATATGTTAATGTGTGAAGCATAAACTTCAGATTTTTAAATTTATTTACTTTTGTAACGATTTAAGTATGTGTTATATATGGTCAAAAGGATCAAACTTTTTGCATCAAATATCAGTTAGGGATATTAAGTTATACGTTATATATAGAGAGAGAAATATGACCTTTAATTAATCTTGTATGGCTGACCACAGTTTCACGGCAAACTATGATTTTACTAAGTTTAGGATAAAAATAAGAATGATATGAAATGGATGGACCTATATAATTTATATACTAATGAACCTTGGAAGCTTTAGTTCTTATAACTACAAGTCATCTGGAAATCTTGAATAGTTGAGTAGATTGAAAATCTATGTAGAGCAATGAAGTTGAGGAATGAACTAAATAAATGGCATTTGTGAAGTAGTTGCCTAACTCAGAAGTAGGGATTGGATTGATTGATTATGTTTTTTTGTAATGAAGCTAAAACATTGGTTTCAATTAGAAGCATTTGTTTCAAATACGAAGAACTTTGAGCCCATAGCTTTAAAGCTCCATGGGAGAGCTTTGCTTTGTAACACTATGTGAGAGCTTATTAAAACAACTTCTCTTTATAAAGCAGTTTTTGATTAGTTTCTTAAGATGTGGTATTATCGTACCGAGTTATTTTTGTACTTCACACTTATAAAATATTTTGTTTATTTTTAATTTTTCGGGAATATGGTTTCACTAATAGGTTTTTAAGGGAACACAACATATTTTTTGCTTGCATTGGAAAATAAATTCACATATTTTTTACATCTAATCTTTTCAGCCAATCAATTAAACTGTTTTGATAACGTATCTGTATGAAAATGTGCCTGAGACTCGATGAATATTTGAATTTGACTCTCGGATACAATGCATGGCTGGTAAAATGATATAGGATGGAAAAGCAAAATAATTTTCCAGTTATCAAGCCCATCAACAAGGCTGTGGTGCATAGAGTTTCTTCAGGACAAGTCATCTTAGATCTTTCATCTGCTGTGAAAGAATTGGTTGAAAACAGTCTGGATGCTGGTGCAAGCAGCATTGAAATCAATTTGAAGGAGTATGGCGAAGAATTTTTCAAGGTTGTGGATAATGGATGTGGCATTTCACCTGAGAATTTTCAGGTATTTAGCAATGTTCATGTTAGTTTTTGTGTATGCTGATTTATCCCCAGTTAAAGTTGATTTACATGTTGTCTCTGATTATGGTGACTGAAGTAACGGTGAAAATGGTCATAAAATTAATCTACATATATTCTAAAAGTTTTAAACTGATATTTTTATATTTTCTTTAAAAGGATTACTTTTGTAGGAGATAATTTATACCTTTTGTTGGATAAATAGGGTGTTAATGTCTTTCAACTATCTGCACATAGCCTGTTTGGTTATATTATGATAGTTAGAAGGTGCTAACTTTTGAAAAGGTGACTAGAAAGGTAAAGATGGAAATGTTGATATAAATTAATCTTCTTGGTTAAAAATGTAATTTAAAGTAAATTTACTTGAGAAATCATCCTGATTGAAGTTTGAATTTTTGATTTTCCAACCATTATTCTCATTTTAACTGTGTAATTTAAATTTTCGTTTGATATACTAATGTACTATTTATCCATGTGATTTTTAGCACTCAAACAATATGTGGCTCAGAGCATATATGTCCTACTGGTGTTATCTAAAGTGTCTATCCTTTTTCTTAGCACATGTAGATTTGACCAAATAGGATGACTTACTAATCTCAAAGGGCTGGTTGGAATCACTTTTGTTTTTTGTTTTTTATTTTTTATTTTGTTTTTTTTTTATGTTTTGATTTGAAACAAAACATGTTTGATTGTTTGATTAAGGTATGATTGGTTTTAAAACACTTCAAACATCTTAAAGTTGATTTGAGTATTTTTAAAAAGATGTTAATTTGTTGTTAGAATTAAAAAATAAAAATAGGTAAAAAATACACTAAAGAAATATATTTTCAAAAATAAAGAAAATAAAATAAAAAGCAAAATTGATCCCAAACTAGCCCTACATAAAATTTTGATCTTCTAACTGGATTATAGGAAGATAGATGTTCCGTGTGTTTTGTCCTTGATAACTAATACACGATGAAAGTTCATCGGAGCAGGGCATTGATATGCGAAGCAATTAAAGCTCTAGATTTGATGGTGATTTTGGGCCTCGCTGATGGATAGTTTGTTTAACACTTGGTGATCATCAAATCTTTTCTTAAACTTGTGACGGAATGCATATTTCACCTAGAAATAGAGTTTGCATCCGCAGATCATATATTAGGAAATTTTATGTTTCAATATAACTTGTGGCTCTCCATTTATAAGTTTCCTAGGGCTTTCACTTTATTATCATTAAATATTAGAGTAAATTGTTTGGAGTTTTGAGGGAAATGTCCCTTGGTTTCTCTAAATGATCGCTGCTGCAAGAGCCATAATTCAGCTTTTAGCACTGCATACTACATTTCTTTTTTGCTTGATTTGAGGAGTTTAGATTGATGAAGTCATTATGAAAGTTTTAGCGCAATTATTTTCGATTTGTGATTTTTGTGAATCTCTAAATAACTTTCATTCTAAGATGCTATATATTCACTGAATAAGGCACCGCACACATTTAACAAACTGTACAAACAACAACAACAACAACAACAAAGCCTTAATCCCACTACGTGGGGTCGGCTACATGAATCCTTTTTCTCCATTGCGTCCTATTTAGTGTCATATTTTCATTTAGTTCTAGTAAATTAAGATCATTTTTAATACAATAAGCCCAAGTCTTCCTAGGTCTACCTCTGCCTTTCTTAACACAAGTCGAATCTAAAACATCTACTCTCCTAATCGGATCATCTAATGGTCGACGTTTAATATGACCAAACCATCTAAGACGACTTTCTCTAATTTTGTCTGTCACAGGAGCTACACCAACCCTATCACGAATATATTCATTTTGCATTTTGTCTCTAAGTGTAAAGCCACTCATCCACCTAATCATTCTCATCTCGGCAACACTTAACTTATTATTATGCTTCTCTTTTAAAGGCCAACATTCAGCGCCATAGAGCATTGCAGGTCTCACCACCATCTTATAAAATTTTCCTGTCAGTCTTAGCG